CTTGAAGCCCATGACCGACTGTTTAATCAGGAGCCCTAAGCTTAGTCGGCCAGTTCTGGAAGTTCATCCATTTTTGAGTTCCCGTTAGCAAATCCCCCTTAGACTTAGGGTACCTCCGAAGTAGGGGGACCTTGATTTAGAGAGCTGGCAAACTAGGCAGGTGCTGCGTCAGCCGCAAATTCAACCATGTACCGTCACAGACTGTCAGATGCCAAGGTGTGTCCGCAAGGTTCTTATGAACATCTCGGGCTGCAGCATTTTGGGGGGTTGAGCCTGTTGTGGACCGGATGGCCCTGCCTCAAGTATCGGCACACAGTATCTCAACTCCTGAGTCCAGGTTCCAAACACCCGGAAACCCTACACCCCAAACCCACCCTTAAGGGCTACCTGACCAAACTCCAAGGCCTCGAATCCACGATCGGCGAGTCCTTCTACAACATGCACGTGCCAGGAACCATCGGTTCGGGGTCTAAGCACGTTCTAGATCCGGGTTAGGGCTCAGGGACACCCTCGCACTCTTTAGATCTCTGTAGGTGCTGCGGTCGCAGCTTTTTCCTTGTGGATAGATGTACGACCTTTCTTGCTCCAGGCGGCCTCTACGTAAACTACCTGGTTGGCTTCCTGATGGGGTGCGTGGTGCCATTTCTGCAGCACACCTTGGTTCGAGCCCCAGCACGCTTTGTTTCAGTGAGCCTTTTAGGCACAGCCCGCGATGAGCCGACATTGGTGCAGTCTGGCACACTCACGTTCACGGGATGACAATGTTCAACGAGATTTGTAAAGATTTGTCTTTAGTGGTTTTGAGGTCTAGGGCTGTAACCGCTACAGCCGCCTCCTAGCATGTCAACACTGCAGGAGCATGCAGGCCATGCACGAAGAGAATCAGCAAAACACTTATTAACCAGCACACGAATAGAAACCAAAAGACACCAAATGGCAGCAGGCAGTAGGAGCGTTCCGTTCACTGCTAGAGGCACGTTGAGCACGACAGGGTACGCCACGCAAGCACTGAAGACCTGGTCTCCAGCTTGAATTCCAGGCTTTTCGCTTCTCTACGCCCATCACCCTCAATACCAAAAAAACGCTGAGTTTTAGCCATCGCATCAGAACAAGGTGGCCAAGATCATTTATGTTTGGCGGGCGCTACCTGCCTGCTTGCTCTATGCTCTCAAGGTGTGCCTTGCCGGAAATAGGCGTGCTTTTCAGCTTTCCTGTGGCTGTTTTCTTGTTGCAAAGGTTTCAGGCTTCGGGCCGTCGAAGAGTTGGATGTCGCGGCTTAAGTTCTACAGGAGCTGGAAGAGGCTTTTGAGGCTTATTTCAATACGGGTTGTTGAGTCCAGGTTCAGTGGAGAGAGGTGCTTTTTCCTATTGGGGTCTAGCTCCTGCATGCCAACTCCAAGCCAGAGTCTCCATCAGAAAGTGCCGAACGTGGATGATCAAGCATGTTCTGCCTCACGCCTCAAGAAGCTGACGCGGGTCCCGCACACTGTCCATGAAGAGGTTCGCAAACGACAGGCTGTGCCCCGGCGCGCAAACATCTACGCAAATGGAGGCAAACATATCTGAAACTTTGCATCGTGGATGCTGAAGGCAATGCTCCATGCCATGATGACGATCCTTACGGAGCATCAGGGACGAGAGCACAGTTTAGAAGTTCAGAAGACCATGAGTTTCAAAGTGCGGCTCCAGCATCCACTTGTTCCGCCACATGGACAGGGCCAGTTCGGGGACCAAAATGCACCAAGCCACGCAGAAAAATACTGATCGTGATGACCCTCACGTGTACTCAGATGCCTAGGCAAAGCCAAGGCAAACAAAGCCTGGCTGGACGTGCTGTCAATTGCTCTTCTCTGTGGGTGGCGGGTAGCTAGCCTTCTGACTGTTGAAGAAGAAGCCATTGCTAGTCGATCTAAGTATCGTCCACCATCGACAGTCCAACTGTGGAGCTTTGGTGTTTCTTGTGTCGGACAGCCGAAAGCTTTACAATGAAATGTTGCAGCTACCCAGTGTGGATCCGGGCTTATCTCACCAGGCGAGGGGCAAAACCCCCCAGCTTTGTAGAACCAAGCTGCAATGTCGGATGATGGGGTATGTCACTATGTCAACCCTCGAGTCCCGAATGCATCCAAACACGCTCAATGCGAACCTACACTTCCGAACCCTCAAGGTTAAGCGCTTCACCACCGCAACCCTGGGCCTCAAACCCCTACTGCGGAGCCTGATGAGGATCCTTCCTTGGGCCCCCGCGGACATCGACGTTTATCCGCGGTTCAACGCGGAGAAGGCGGCGGTTTCGGCTTGAGGGTGTTCGTGTTGAGAGGTGAGGGCATCTTGTTGCTTTATAGTGTTCGAGAAGTTCTTCGGCGGGACTTCTACGATTCTACACAACAAAAAGTTCCATGGTCAGGACTGCCCGGCCTGCCGAAATGGAGCAAGTCCAGCTTTGAAAAGAGCATGTCAACAGCAACCTCCAAGGTCTAGGGTTTACATTGTTTGGGGGCATGTGAACCTGCTCTCAGTGCAGGCGACAGCACTAGGACCAGGACGCCGTAAATGAAACCTGCACGACAAAGCCTGAAACCCTCAATCTCCGAACGTCCTAAACCTTAAACCCTGATTGAACCATGAGGCACCAAACGGGTGCCCAGCCCAACAAAGCAAAGGCTATTGAAGCGCCAGAGAACGGTATCGCCTGGGACTACTGCGCCTTCATTGTACACATCGCCACTGCCTTTATGGCAGCTCGGCCAGTGCTAGTTTTCATTTTGAAGGCGTTGTGAAGAGGAGGGGGAGTATCCTATAGTAAAGAGTTTGCAACTTCTCATTTGTGAATTTGTGAATGTGTTGCATCTGATGACTGAGGTCTTGTTCCTTGTGCACCTTCAGACAACTGAGCCCTGCAACCACCCCTCCCCACAATGCGGATTTCCATTGAAAGTCCGCTTGCTTGACTCAAACCCTCAGTTAAGAATCTTGTACACATGAATACACGTACTTGCCTACTTTCTTACTTACTTTCTCTGTCTCTCTTTCTCTCTCACATGTATATATATATATATGTATATGTACTGAACAGATCGAGTGCATTTAAAGAAGAACCAGTGAGGTCACGGCCATCATCACAGAGTCGGTGAAGCTGGGCTGCAAGGCAAAGGAGAGATCGATTTTTTGGATCACTTCAGATTACGCGCTCGGAGACAATTCTGTTTTTGTAACAGCCCCTGAGCGGTGACGGACCATGCAGTGCTGGCCAGATGGGTCTATCCCATAGTGCCACGACATGAAAGCCTGCGAACGGCAAGTCCCAAGTCCGTATCCCACCCTGAGCACCAGCCCTGAAGCGAGACCTAAGGTGGAGACTCTTCATGATGCTGACCTTCTGGTCTGTGCAGTGGTCTTAGTGACAGTTTCTAACATCTGTGGTGGCCCAGATTGAATAAATACCCCAAACAACTGTCTCTTGGCCCACCGCAACTCAAAATGTTGCTGTGGCGTTGTTTGAAAGCCGTACACAAACGACAGGGCTTTGCCTAGATCAAAGTGACCTTCTGAATGGGCAGTCTTGTGCAGGATTGACTGGGGAGGCTGATCTTTAGCGCTGTGCTTTTGAAGTTTGTTCTCCTGACCTTGCATCGTCCGCCTCCTGTGGTTTGGTTCAGTATGGGGGCCTACTCCCTGATATGAGACCCTACTGATGTCACGATTATTCTTGTAAGGCTTTCTTTTGTGTGGGCTGAATATCTGTGCCATCAAGGGAGCCTTAAGGTCTCCCTCCATCCCAAATCCCCCCAGGTTCTATTGGTACTGGTCTCGCTTCATGCATCTGCGGGTGCAATCTGCATCCAATTTCAATGGCCACCTTCTGGACACTACCGACCCTGGTTGGCAATCCTTTTGTCAAGATGTATGTAGGGCTTGGGCGGTTCATGCTTCCGAGGGTGAGGTGCACAGGCTCTCACAGGAAGTTGTGTCAGCTTGGGTGCATTATTGACGTCGAGGATTCTTTCCTAAGCTTTCTGCATCCTTCTGCATCCTCGCATCAGCGTACAACTTTCGAGGCTCGGGCTGGGGCCTGGCTTCAGGGGAGGTTCTTGCCATTGCCGAATCTGGGAAGCCAGATTCGCTTCTTGCCACTGCATGTGGTGGCAGTGGCCGTGGTCGCTTTATCAACACTTGGGCGGGGCTGGGGTGGGGTGGGGAGGGGGTGGGCGGGGTTCGTCGCCGACAAGCAGGCGAGCCTGCTTCTACTTGGGTGTTGAGATGCAAAGGCGTCCAGCTCGCAAAGTCCAAACACACAAGCGGATTCCTTAGAGAGCTGCCCTGGCGAGCATCAAAAACACCGCGAGTCTTGATGCGTTTGCCGACTCAAGGCATGGCTTTTCTGGGCCCTACCGCAGAGTTGCCTCGCGGGCTCTGCATTTGTCTGGGCCATCAGGCCATGTGTCAGCTTTCAATCCACTGCCTTTGTTTTGTTTAGATGGATGGTTTGCATGGGCTTCAGAGCTCGGGCTGCTTCGGCTGTATGCAACTTTACTTGCCGCATTCCTGGAATACTGAGGAGGGTCTCAAAAACTGGGACTGGTTTTCTCAAGAAGTTGATAGGTGTGTAGATGTTGACCTGTGAACATAGAGCCCTGCTGATGCATGACTGTAGCTGATGGAGTTTGTTTGCTCTTTTGTACTTCGAGTTGTTCCTATTGAGTTTGCTGGGTCGGATTCTGAACGAGTCCGTGTGTTGTTTTGGAGGGCAGGAGGGACGGGGTTGAGAGCTTTTGCTTCAAGATCTCGTTGCTTTAAGGTCATAGTTGTCCGGCATGGGCAAGTTGGGGACTTGTAAAATCCGTGCTTCGTGCAGGTCGGGCATCGTGTACTTCGAGTCGACCGTGTCAGCCATCCTCTCTTTGCTTCTTGACTGCTCTTGTGGCAACCTGCTGGGGTGAGACAACATAATGCAGCTTCCCCTTTCCCCGATGGTTCCAACACATCCGAGGATTGTGGTGATGGCGGTGGCCTCCTGCCTCTGGGTGTCGTGGTAATTGAACAAGTCTAAGCCAGACTGAAGAGGATCTAAAGAGGGTGTTGCTACTCCGCCCCCTGTTTCGTGGGCACTGTCTCCTTTGTGGCAGGGCTTGGGTGCACACTGCACCTCAAGTCAAAACTTTGGAGTAATTGCAGCGATATGCCGCGATCCAGGGGCCCGCAACTAAGCCCGAAATCCCTCAACACACAGGGGGGCAGGGGTTGGAAAGGATTTAGGCTTGGTCTATCTTGGTCTCTGCTTCGGGTTCAGTGTTTAGGGACTCTGGTGCGGCAGGTATTCGCGTACCTGGTGGTGGCGCGACCGTGGCGGCGGCCGGATACACCGCAGTCCAGTGTGCAGACGGTGGATGAGGTGATGCTACACAAGCCGTATACTTGGTACAACTGCGGCTCAGCTGCGGTTCGGGGTGCAGGCCTTTCAAACCCTATGACAGGGCTCAGAATCTGCATAGTTTAATGTTTTTGTTGTAATTACCGTCAATGTAAATGTTTCAGTGTGTCTCCTGCTCCTGAGAAGCTTTATACATGTGCTTTGCGTGCCGAAGTTGCTTTTTGCGGAAGACTGCAGGTAAGGGGCAATGGCCAATACTTGCCAGGATAAACCAAATAAGAATCCAACCCTGTACCAAATACATCCGCGACATTTCGGGGTTTGAGGGGTAGATCAAGATCTAAGGCAGGGGTGTAGGATGTTCAGCCTTTGGTTGAAGGAAGGGTTTATATAAGGGCTTCAGGACTTGCACGACTGAGGGTGTGGAGGTTTGAGGCCCGAGGACCTCATGTCAAGGTATGTAAGGTGCAATACTCATATAAGCCCTAAGCCTAAGCAGAAGCCCAAAAAGGTTGCAAATTGTAAGTGGTGGATGCTCAAATGCATGAAATTCCGATGACAGTGGCCTTTCGCCACTATCTTAGGACGCACACCGGTCTTGGATTTCAGAGCATCCCATGTGGAAATTTAGAAGCCACGTGGGTTCTTGTAGTTTCGGCCCCACAACAGACTCCCAGTTTGCTGCAACCAACACACACACACACACACCCACACACACACACACACACACACACACACACACACACACACGCACGGAAATTCCGGAGCTTGGTTTGCGTTGGATTTCCTTGGTCAGATGACGAGGGATGTTGTATCTCCCCGGAGTTGATTACATGCCATTCGCATCGAAGCTCCCTTCCTGCATCTGCACCAAGCCGGAAGTTGTTGTGACACATACGAGGCAACCCGGTCTACGTCTTGAAATGCGCCTATGCTGAGGCAAAAAGCTGGGTTCCGTGTCAGGGTTTGACCAAGCCCATCAACACAGACCTCTCGGATTTGAGCAGCCGTAACATCTACTCCTCTGCAGAGGAAGGGCCCTCCAAGCCGTCTAGATCATGGTGATTCTAACGAGCCATCTGGAGGATGTCAAGCGCGAAGGATGGAGCAATCCACATTCTGCTCGGGCGGGCGAGGAGAAGGACCGCTTGGCTCTTTTCAGGGTGTTGGCTTAGGCTTGCTGGGCTTCGCTGCAGTCCAGGCATGGAGGAGTTGTTCCCTAATGATGTGCCGCTTTCCATGAAAGAGGTAACAATGATATCCACCGGCAGAAAAGGGATTCCATAGTCAAAGCGGTGTTGCTTGACACCGATTTTTTTTGCTGTAGCGTGCGCATCATGAGCTAGTACTTCGTAGCCACAGATAGGCCCCACGCCCTGACAGGCCATGCTCTACACGAGAGGGATGCTTCGGCAGCGAATCAGGCGGCGGTATCCTGCCAGGTGCGAGGAAGATCCACTGGTCCCAAAAGCCTTTGCAAGCAGCCTAAAGACCTTGCGTAAGCTCTACAGGCCTACACCCTCAAAGTCGAATCCTAGCCTATGCTCCATGCCATTAACCTCCATTTGGCTAATTTGGCTCTAAGGAAAGAGTACCTCTTCATGCAGCGAGAACAGCATCTTGCTGGCACTTCATTGGAGCCGGGGTGGCGGCTGCTGCAAGACCCTGCTCCAAAATAACCCTGAACATTAGACCCCTGTCTCGGAATGAGCCCGTTGTCCTGGCTGTCTCAACGGACGCCGCTCCGCCTCCCAAAAATCCCACCCCAGGCCTGATACTCGCAGCTGGGGTTAAGATTGCAGGTCCACGAGAATCTTTGCAGATTGACCTTAAGCAGCTCAATAGCTTAAATGTTGAGTTCCAGATGCTCAGCCTGACCGTTCAAGTTTCAGGCAGCACCACATCATGCGAAGGCCGGGTCCTTCCCTGTTCTTGTCTTTGGGCTATTGCTATTGATGATTATTCCCTAAATTTGTAGGATTCGCAAGAACTGGTTTCTGGGGTCTAATTTCCTTTGTCGGCTAGATGCCCTTGCGGTAGATGGTGGCCAGATATCGAAATCTAGACCATCTCCGACGGCCTCGGAGCTGGTGCGAAACCTAGGCCTTTCCTTGTCGGCTTGAAGGCTCCTCTCCCAGTTTTGCTGACCATTCTTAAGTTTCTTAAGGGTTGCTGCCTTCTGTAGTTCTCTAGCCCGCTGCGCTCCAAGATCTGAGAGCAGGCTGCACGACCGATTGGAGTTCGAAACGTACATGGAAATCTTCTTCGAGTACTGCCACTACTTCGGGAACTTCGGCTGATGGGAGTGTGGGTTTGAAGGGCGCTCAAAGCTTACGACTTGTGGATTGATACTTGTTCCATGGGACTCCGCTCACAGTCAGTATCTACGTGATTTTGTAGCCTTCGTTTGTGCAGCCGGCACTTTTGGTGATATGAGCAGCTATGCGTTTGAGGAGTTTGTTGAAAGCTTCTTTCCTGCTGTCAGCCAAGGAACTGTTTCTGCTTAGGATTTGGTAAGAAGGACAAGGTCGCAGCTCCTCGTGGATATGAACAGCTGCTCTGGCCGCAAGAGGTGCCCGCCCCTACGCATCTCCTTCCACAGTCGGGCTCGGTGTTAACATGGTTTTGAGCCACCTGGGTCCTCACCAAGCTTCATCCTCTGCCTCACCAAGGAAAGGGCCGGCAAAAAGCAACCCAAGCATCCAAACTTGAAGCCTAAACGAGGCCCGAGGAATCGTCGGCTAGACTCCGGTACTGGGGCTTCTGAGCTGGGGGTATAGACCAACCAGAAGCCGGATGCAGAATGCAGAATGATCCTCAAGCCATCCCCCACCCGCGGTTTAGGGTTCAGGGTTGGTGGGATTTCTATGGGGTTCGTGGGATATCTGCTGTCAAAGATCTTTCTTGCGCCAAGAACCTATGCTCAAGGCTCCGGGCTGTCATTACTGGAGAGGAGGAGAGTCGCGGGCTGATGAGTCAGGGGCTGATGAGCAGCTCTGGAACCCGCTCGGCCACACTGCTGGTGCCCCCCTGATCCAAGGGGCCTTCTCGCAAACAGCTTCCACATTTTCAGGTTGGGGCCGACGGGCTTGGTCTCGAGCGACTCCTTGTAGTGTCATGTTGTTTGTGATGTTATCAGCCTGTCTCTGCATGGCCTCACATTCCGCCTTACAACTTCCTAAGCCAATTAAGCCACAAGCATCTGGGTTTGGAGTGTTTCGGGCGACCTTGCGTGGCATGCACCCAGCCACAACAGAACCAACCTGCAATTTCTCAAGAACCGCCACCTCGCCTTCAAAGGAGGCCGGTGGCGGAGGTCTGATGGAGGCTTGAGTTTTGGGTTTTGTTTTAGTTTAGACAGTTTGAGATGGATGTACAGGTTTGGCCTTGATCAGTTCACCTGTTCGCACCCGCCTGCCTTCGCTCAAACTTGGGGAGAGCGGTTGGGTGGTAATTCGTGTAGGAACTCGCCAAACATTTCCGGAAACTGTCCGGGAATGCTTTCACAGCTGCACACTAGAAAGGTCCCTCACGGCTGCAGGGTTCATTCAAATGTGTAGTTTTCAAGCTGCCAACTTCTATTCTGGTGCAGGGTTGAAGCTCGTCGAAGCCGGAACATTCAACCACTGGATTCACTGCAGGGCTCTGTGCTGGCCGGTTTTCTTTGGGCTTCTCTTAGGGTTCGGGTTGCCGACGCAGTGTTTCCCGAACCTTGCAAGCAACTTGGTCACCAAGCCTGCACCGGTAAAGCGTTTCCCGCCCTCCAAAGCCTCTGGCCTCGAAACAGTCCAAACACACCCCAAACTAGAACCGGCCTCCCCAAACCCTGAACCGCAAAGGGCCGAAATGGGGGCCTAAATCCCTGAATAGCAGGCGGAAGTGGCTGTCGAAGCTGTGATGGTTTGGAGTGTTGAGTTTAGCATGGCGTTTCATCGTTCCAGGTGTAAGCTTGAGAAGCCGTACCCTTCACGTCTAGGCGCATTTGGACTGTCAGCCCTGCGGGTCAGCGGTCAGCCCTACAGCTTCAATTGTGAGCTTGTGAACCCATGGGCTAGTAGCCACTGGGCCACTGGGCCTTTCTCCACGGCGATGGCGATGGTTGAGGTGAGCCCGTCCTTTCGATGAACCCCAGAACCCAAACGAATTCCCCAAACCCCGAAGCCGTATGCAGGTGCAAGTGGATTGCCTGGCAGGTCCCCTTTGCACAGTGAAGGCCGGTACTTTGGGGCTTGGGAATGCAGACTGCGCTCCAAAGGCCCTTACTGAGCCCGAAAAAGCGGCTTAAACACTTTTCTAAACCTGCCTGGATATGCACCGATGCACCCTCCTTCAAATTCCCGAGAGCGGGAGGCTTGAAACCTCAACGAGGGTCTGGGTTTCTGTGATCCCAGTAGCATGCTAGCCTTTTGCACGTTGACTGGAAGCCTTGCATGCCGTGTGCGAGAGTAAGCGACGAAAACCTCAACGGAGACACACCCAAAGCCACCGGCTTGAACAGAGGATGCTTTGGTAGCTCTCCTTGTTACTAGTTTGGGCCCGAGGCAAGTGGGACTGAGTTATAAAATCAAACAGATCCGACAGCTCCTGCAGGTTTCAGAGGAGTCCAAGCTCGAGGAGCTGCGCAAGGCTCTGGAAGCTCAACTCCCTGAAAGTATAGGCACGTCGAAACTCATTCCCGAAGTCACCCGCCTCCAACATCCCTCAACACATTTGAAGCCGCCGAGAGGCCATCCAGTCTGCCACGGCCATCCCCGTGAGCCAACAGCGATTCCTGGTGCGCATGGAGATCATGCTGAAGCGATTTGGGTCAGCGGGGAACGCCTCATTCACACCTCAAAGCGACAAACAGGCAGCTGAAAACCCCATGGTTGGGCGGCTTACAAAAGCTGGTCTTTGAAGTCCTGAAGTCTCCTAATTCTTGGGAGCCAGGTTGTTGTGTCATATTTATTTGCGCGGGAGAGTGAGGGGGCCGAAGCCTAAACTGCATGTTCGCGAGACTGCGAGTGTAAGGCTTGCTGGTTGGCTCCGAGATCCTTAATGATGAGCCTCTGCTGAATGTTCTTCGCTTTGACTTTCGTACCGCGGCGTTCTTGCTCGACGTTTTGCTTGCTTGGTGTTTGCTCAGCTTGGGCAAACGTGCCTGTCCCTCACAATGTTTTAGGCTACAGATCATCCTACTCGCGGTGACTAAGGATTCCTTGAAAAACTTCCTCCGTGCGGCGAAAGCATCTGCATCTCGAATTACGCTGCTGCGGCGTCCCGTTGACCAGGCCTGCCCTCGAATTTTCGGCCCCGTCAGCTCATGACATCATGATGCTTGGGTGCTTCAGTAGTTGGAAGGATGGCAGCACGAGACCCTGCCTTTGCTCCTTCTTGCTCCCATGTCTTGCTCTTGACCCCTATCTTCTTCCGAGCTGACGCCCGTCAGGGCTCTGCCATAGGGCTCCTCCTGCCCTAAATCAGACGGCTTGTGAGGAGCGTATCTTTGAAGCCATTGCCTCCGGGGAGCCTTGGAAATCTGTGCTGGCGGGGGAACCCGGAAAGTTGGGTCGGTGCAGGAATTAGTTTTCGGGGCAATTTGGGGAGCTGAGGTATAGGATAGGGAGAATGCCTGCCTCGGCCCCTCGTTGGGTTTTCAGGCTTATTCAGCCACTTGGGGCTCAAAGGCGGAGGTACGTTTTTTGCCTTTCATTTGTCTTTGCTGACCTTTTCTCGGGCAAACTCTAAGTGCCTAACCCTAGCTACTAGCCCCCCCCGGCAGCCCCTGCAACAAGTGAATGTGCGAAGACAATCTCCGCAGCTGAATCCCCAAAGCTGAGTGAAGGCCCCACGCCCCCGGAAGCCTCCCGGGATCCTTGTTAAAGCAAGGCCGCTGCGTCAGAGGCGGCCCGCAGTGACAAGGCCAATTGTCGCAGGGCGTTTTAGGAGTCAGGGTACGAGATGTCTTAGAGCGACCTCCGAATCCTCGGCCGCGCTTTCAAGGCGTTGAGGATTCAGGATATTCAGGGTGTCCAGGTTTGGCCCGAAGCATCCTCAGGAGGTCATCCTCAAGGCG